CGCCTCCGTCAGCTTTGGGTTATCCGTGATATTTCACGGAAAGTAGCAATTTAAGGTAGTAAATTGGTCTGTAAATTTATTTTCTTAGGAATCTTTCTAAATTTTAAGAGCATGGTAATTGAAACAGAAGCTGAGATAATTGTAGTCAGAATTAGCATTATTTACATGTATCACAGATATGACTTCCCATATCATGTTTTCAACTCTAGTGATTAAACTATTTTTGCCGTTTTAATGAAAAACAAAAAGACGATGAATGAAACTCGTGAAAATATTATAAAAAAGTTACGAGATTATTGACAATTTGGTTTTCCACATCAATGTCTTCTCGGCCCTCTGAGACATTTTGTACCACCGATAAACGTTGCTTCGGTCCAAGATAGCTTCACCATATGCCACAGTCAACATTCGGAATGCGTCCGCGCACTTAATTTTGTTAGATTCTTTGATCCATTTTTTGGAATAGGCAAAAATCGAAGACGAGCCAAAACACGTCCAAGCAAAACAACTGTCAAAGATAAACTGAATATTCAAAATGGCCGAACTTGTCGGCATAAGTGAGGGACATGAGTACCAACATAACGCCACAAAAAAATCGAAAATCGAATATACGTAACCGGCGGAAATTCAAAATTCCCGATACTTTTTGAACAGACCTCGTATATTCATTTTTGCATGTTTAAATTTAAATCGTATATTGAAATAATTTTTGCCCCTTATTTTAAATATCCTGTGTAATATTTGACAGGATTTTTCTTTATAGACACCGCGATGTGCACTAATAATCCCAATGACTTCATATACAATTGTTACATTTACCGATCCCATGGAAACAATTAGTCTCTCATATAGCAGATTACATCTTTTATATAGACAAACACGATTTTTTCTGCATCATATATCGAAAAAACATATCAAGTCTCACGCATCATTGAATTCGCGAGTCAATCCCGGTTGAAATCGGAAAGATGATTAGTTTTGCGCGGAATCGTAGCTTCCGCGGCTTTCACTCTATGAAATTATCGATGAGAGTAGTTTTTCATTTGCGCGAATGCGCGCTATGAATGCAATCGAAATCCTGCTTCTCGAATTTGTAAAATAAATGCGCTTTTATTGCAATTGCGATCGCTACTGACCGATTCACCCCCGTCCATTCATTTTTACCGAGCGCGAGCGCGTAGAGAGCAGAGTCTATCTAATTTCAAATTTATATTAAGCTGGATGTGTGTATCGGATAACAAACAGAAGGAAAAATCGGCCGAAAATTGCAAAAAAAATTGTGAGAGGAGGGGAGCAGCCGTTAATTAAAAAATGACGCGGCCCGAAAGCGGCACTCTGTGTTGAAAAGTTGACTCGTTCGGTTTTTGCGACTTAACCGTATCAAACAGTGCGGCGAAAAGGTCACGGCAACTTTCGGAACATATTCGCTTTTATTTGACCGCGCTTCCTTCGACCGTGTTTGCCAAGCCGGCCTCTCTCGTGTCGTTCGCCTTTTTGGCGAGTGTTTACTTCTCGGCGTGCGTCGTCTGCCGCGGACCAGACCGATCGAATTATGCTGCCGGCGCATCCGGAATCGACGACCGAAACGGACAGGACGGGAAGTCAGGCAACCGTCCTCGAGCGTCCTCGAGATAAGTTTGTGCGAAACCGCATGATTGGACAGGACTCCACGCCCACGAAATGCTTTCGGTTTATTAGCATGCCTCGTACAAGTTAACCGACGACGTGGCGTCACATCGCGACGCGGCGCGTCGTGACGAGCTCCACCGAAAGCCGGATAATTGCATGTAGAAGCATTAATGACTATCGCGTTAACGACTCTCGAAAACGGACTGTCTCTAATGTCCGTCCATGATGTATACTCGGTCCCGTGTTGTGATTGGCATCGTCTCCGACAATTACTTTTTTGCAACCGAAACAGCGAGCGGAAGATAGCCTCGCCATCTCATGAAGGCAGCTGGTCCGTAAATTTATATTCCCAGGAATTTTTTCAAATTTTGACAGCATATTAATGGAAACACGATCTACACATATATAAAATTAAGAAAAGACTAACCGTGCTGAAACTAAGATAATTGAAGTCAAAGCTAGCACTGTTTATTAGGTGTGTAAATTAATTCGGTATTTTCGTTACCAAAAATCAAGATTTATTTATCAATAGAAGGTGTACGATTTTAATTATCGAAATAATCTCCGTTGTTACCAATTTCCCTATACCGTTTACCGGACAGCTGTCGAATTCTATATCGCGATAGAAACTTAGTTTTGAATCAATAATTATCGACAGATTTTCGAATGTCTTCTATTGTTATTTTAAAACGTGTGTCGTAAATATGTGTTATGTGTGCTTTAAATATGTGTCAATTAAATGATGTTGCAACAACTGAAATATGATGAAATCCTGAAGGGGCAAAGTCTAAAGAATTAGCTAGATACAACTTCTCAACCCCTATTAAAAATGAATTATATCACAAATCGTGTTTATAAACATTTAAACACAGATTTGTCGAGTTTCTTCGTGTTATATTAATCATTACCTTTTTAACAGTATTGTTACAGACTAACTTACCTTACTTAACTAACCTTAAATAACGAATTCGTGGAGGATCTTGGACATCACATAATTATAGATATGACTTTTATTAGTAGAAATATTTCAAAATCATTGTTCACACAAAGTTCCATTTACGCTTATAGCTCGAATAGATAAACAAACAGTTATTAACGAGAGAGTAAATATTTATAATTGTTACGCATGTTCTCCTACATTAAATTTACAATGTTTCAATTTGAAGAATCAATTTGCTTCTGACATTTTACTATCGAATTCATGAATTCAGATAGATTTGGCATATCCAAGCGCTCTGCGCCGTCAGTCCAATACATTTCTGCGGGCAGAAATCTGGATAACGGGCGCGCCGTAATTTGTGCGGCTTCAACTTGTACCTGGGACAGTCAGAATCGAATGGGATCGTGCGGTTGCGCGGCGACGAAATAGTCGCCGCGTCCATCGTTAGGAAACTCGCGGCAAATTTCGCCCCGAAGCCTGTTTAAATCGTGAAATTATTGCCGCCGAAAGTCATCGACGAAGCCGGGGCTTCAAAGCAAATCGGATTAGAGCTAAATACCCGGCGAAGCGGGATTTCGAATTCTGTTATATTGAAATTAGTCATCAGTAATTAAATCAGCATGGCGGCAAACTGATAAAACTGTATAATATCAGTTTGCGAATGCGTGTTTTGTTGATCTTTTAGTTCGCAATCTTATCATCGGTTTTTATACGCTGTTTTATACGCGGGAGGTTGAAAATATAAAAGCTTCCAGAGTTCTGTTTGTTTTCCGTTTCGCTCGATAGCAATGTAAACTTAATAATAATTCTAACGTCATGTTATATAATACATACAGAATCGAAACAAAATACCGGGTATCTCTCGCTTCGTCACGTATAAATTGCTACACGTGTGTAAATTTACACGAAATATATTTACGTCGTGTAACTGAGCACNCCCCCCCCCCCCCATTTAAATTTTATCGCGGTCTCTTTTTCGTTTTCTCTTCGGTTTATTATTATTATCATCATCATCATCATTTTTCCTTTAATTCCCAAGTGGAACATAGGGACTTCTCTCTCTTCACATATGCATGTGGTGCGCACCCAGATTGTACATCACATGCATATGGGACCTACAGTTTAACGCCGATTCCGAACGGCAGTTAGAGAGAAGTTTTCTTGGCATGTGATTACTCTTTGGTGGTTTGCCGGACCATCGAAGAGGAGCTACGAGCGTATGAAAAATTTTTTTCTGGTTTTGCCGGGGATCGAACCCGGGGCCTCTACTAGCATAGTAGACTGGTGCGCTGTCTACCATGCCACGCTCGCGCTCTTCGGTTTATTATATGTCTTAATTTATTTGCGCGGCAAAGTTTCATTTGACTTGCGAGCAAACTTTGCCTATTCGAATTCTGCAAAGTTAAATACCTTCGCCCTCAATCCTTTCGCTAAGAAAATGTAAAATGTTTAACTACTTACCTAGAAAAGTTCCTAAGTGTGTACACAAAGTTTTACGAGAGCGAAGCGTTTCGTAGTTGAAAGCTTTCGGCACATTGTACGAACATAATAATTGATCTATAGTATTCTTGTAACTTTGTTCTTGTAAGTAAAGCCTACATCTATTTTTCCGTTACGAGAGCACCGTTCTCTTAAGTCGAATCAATAAAAATGTCTAAATCAGTAAAACTGTATTCTACCGATAATCAATAAATATTCACTAAATTTTAATGGAAACACTTCCACTTAGCTCTTTTGTCTTACACTTCATGGATTTCGGCCAATAAAAGGTTCACTGTAAATCACTTCTGGCACATTTTTGGTCAGAAATGAAAGAGTGCCGAGTTTTGAATGATCAAAGATTAGCTAATAATCTACTAATCTGTTTCCCGGTTAATTTCTGGCTAGTTTTTAATCAATTTCATTTAAACATGATTTTCTTCAGATACTGATACTCTGTTGAAAATTTTTAGATGGATTTCCACGGAAATCCAACAGAACTCACATGAAACATATTAAAATGTTAACATGTAATGTAGGATATTAAAAATCCATATAGGAATCCACATGGTATGTGAAAATTCATGTAAAGATCCACATGGATTATTACCGAGTTTTTGATGCAGGCCAAACATAGGATTCCATATGGATTTCCTATATTTTCACTTGGTTTCTTTCAACAGGGCAATTACTGTCTTGTAACATTAAACCAGTAAAAACTGACTAGTTCCTGACAAGTAATCAGTTTTTCCCGGAAACATTTTTACTCAGGTAACGACCAAGTTCCTGGAGTTATCGCAAGCGTTACGATCCCTCTCGTCGGAATTGACTCCAACGTTACACGGAAGCGAAACAACATTATTAAATTCGGCGTGTTACTTTGCTCCCACGTCGAGTTGACAATCGTACACGAATACGGGACGATATTAAACGGCGTTTCGCACATTTTTAGCACCCGGAGCGCCCCTGCTGATCCCCGAGGAGTGCAGTGCCGAGAATAACAGCGTCACCGTCGCCTGGCAGCCGCCACCTGGACACGGAATGATGGGCTGCGCCGGGCAGAGGGGTCCCGCCATCGAGGGATATCTCTTGGAGCTGGATGACGGCTGCGGCGGGGAGTTCAGGGTGAGTAAACACAGCGCGTATATCCTGAAGAAATTGTACCGTCGCGTGTCTTCCTGTGTGTGCGTCGTCGGGGCTATTCGTCCGGATCGAGATTTTCTCGGGATCGCCTGCGAATTCTTCGATGACACTTCACTCGTCGAACCTTTCATCCTCGTTCCCGTTCTTCCCTCACCGACGTCCGACTCCGACTGTTTCTTCTCCGGACACACTCCAAGACGGTGATACGGCTTTGTCCGACAATGGGACGCTCGACGTTCCGTCGCGGAATTGTTCTCGATCGGCTCGGACCACACACGATACTCTCTCTTTCTCTCTCTCTCTGTGGGCTGGCTAGCCGGCTGACGGTGATGAAATGATGTTTGGTGTTTTCGACTGCCCGATGAAAATCTGAAGAGCAATGCGTTTCCGTCTCTTTTTTGTCGAGGCGCCAAGTCGTCGAGTAGTTTTCGAATATTTCATCTTCGTCGGGAGACCGCTTCGACCGAGAGAGAAATAAAAGAGCGATTTAATTTTTATTTACTTACCAGAATCGCGACACATATTGAATTTAGCATAGACGAGCTATTAGAGAGCAGTAGCGAAACTAATTTTGTCGAATGCGATGGCGCGGGACTATCCGGCAGTTTCGCCCTCGAAAAGTTAAGACGAGTTTTTCTCGCGCTCTCGGCCGAAAGAAAGTTAGTCGTGGCGCAAAAATAGTCAAAAAAGACGAATCGCATGAACGTGGCAGGAAACTCTAAAAGATTGGATGTACATGTTGAACTAAACGTGACGGTGGTAACCCGGGGGAAAGAAGATGCAAGTTCTTTCGCGAAATGCACTCGTTAAAATTCTACAATAGCTCTCTCGCACTCGACTGTCTTTTTTTTCTTTTTTTTTACGACGCATATTTGAATACAAACTTGTTAAATTATTGGATTCCTGCGGAGAATAAAGTATTGCGCTCCGCATAAATGAGTAATGCGAGTTTCGAAATCACTTGCAAACAAAATTTTCTTACGACTTTTGTTTCCGTTACACAGAAAGAAAAGTGCTCGAATAATATTTATTTGATCCAGATAAAATGGTTATTTCAATGCTTCTTGACAAATATTCATTAAAAGTAGAAATATAATTAACTATGTAAATTATAATCTTTCCTTCGTATAAAAATAAGTAGACATTTACTTATATTTGTCAAAAGGAGGAGGATGGGCCGCAAGTATTAATTTATAATGTTGAAAATATTAGTTTATTTTTCAGAAAATATTTATTGAACAGAATACATTTAAAAAAAGAGCCGAAAAGCAAGTAATTATGTTTATTTAATTCTAGAATTTTTTTATGCGCATTATTATAAAATATTTCCCATTAGTACTTCATACAACATTATAGGATGTGTGTTCGCATAATTTTATCATTGCATTTTCGAACTTTATCGTTACAGCCCTTCCCACACGCGCTAACACCAGATGTACCTTGTATAGGCAGATCCCCGGATACGACCGTTTAATAAAACTACGGAGGTGAAATGCATAAAGCCGCCTTTCAATTTACCAAAGGATAATACCGGCTATCGTGTGACATTGAAGCGCGGGCGTCAGGATCGGGGAAAAAAAGAGGGAAAAAGTACGGCGACACGATCATAAAGTCCCTGCGATGGAAATTTGTTGCGCGCGCCGCGAAATGAATATTGATGCCGATCGGCCATAAAGTTTACGCTCTCCATAGAGATTTTCGTTACGCCGCTCGCGTCCCGTTGTATCGGGACGAATTGCTCGCGCGAACAGCCAGGGAGAAGGGCGGTCGCGTACATATATCCATTCGGGGGTGCGTTTCTGGCTCGACGAGGTCGTACGTCGCATTTATTCTCCGGCTGGACTTGGCCGGCCGACCTCGGAACGTCGTCTTTCGCCTTTTATTGATCGTAAACGTAGGCGGTAGCGAACAGCAGCCTGAAAACGCGGCGGCGATTACGGCTAATAACTCAGCCTAAGTAGCGAGCGAGACCGCGGCATAAAAGTCGGGATTAAAGGGCAGTCTCTCCCGCGGAGCGAATTCACGGCGCAAGTTTGAGAAATTTGGGAATTAGCGCGCCGAATAAAAAGGGAATTTCAAGCGCGCTAAATTAAGCCTCGGAACAGCTCTATGGCGGCGTGTCTGAGAGGGAGTGGGCGATAATATCTGTAATTATCCTCATGATAAGGAAATTATGTATACGGGATTTGTTTTCGCGCACTCTTGAGGCTCCGAAACTTCTTCGGGATGTCCGGGGGGAAGCTCTACGATCTATGTAGCGGAAGCTGACTCGTGAGAATTCAGATTTTTGCCGCACGGTAAATAAAGATTCGCTATTGAGGGCGTTAATTGAAACCCGTAACTCCAAGATTCCGGGCTTACATTCGTGAAAAACGAGCGATCCTCCCGGGAGGCGGCAATTATTAATTGCCCGTCGCGATATCGTCCCGTTCATTACAAGTTTTTCTCAAATGACGGTAGTTCGAACCGTCGTTTGCCACATAATCCACGATATTAATGTGGGGCAATCTGCTGGCGCGCGGCGGTCGAGTTTCATAAGGCTTTGTCTACCATCGTCGTGAGAGGGAATAAAATTGCACGAGAAGAAGGCCACTTGATATTGCAAAACTCGATCCTTTTCTCCCGACCATCATTTTAGCATTGTCTATTTCCACCATCACGAATATTCGAATGTTGTAAGATCAATTTGAAGAAGGACGCGTATTCAAATAAAAAAAGTATGTAAAATTAAAATTTACTTTACAAAGATAAATAACAAATACGCTAAGTATATAAAAATTTGCAAATATGTTTTCAAGCAGTATTTAACGAAAACAGAGAAAAATTCGATTAATGTCCGCTCCAAATAATTCGTTGTTTCTTTCTTTAAGTAAAAGATAACTCTTCCGCGAAAATATTATATTTTTCATACAAAATATTGTATTTTAATAATTACTTAACTTTTGCAGTTAGAAATATTATATGTGCTACTAGCTTTATTAATAGTTATGCCTGTGAGAAGCAAGCAGTGATATCGTTGACGCGGTAATTTTAAATTTGAGAGAGTCTCTCTATAAGGGTCACGGAAGTATTGTTAAAATCTTGGATATTTAAACTGTGTGATTGTTGCTTAGTAAAAATCATTTCAGAAATACCCTTTTTAATGTAGGATTGTTTTCGGTCGAAAATGTTAATATTGGTCCAGTCACAAACTCATGATTCTGAAAAAATCTATGCTTCAAATCACTGACAAATTATTAGGGGATTACATTTAATTTGATTACGGTGTTTCTTAATTCGAGTACCTACTCGTCTACCTGTTTGGCCAACGTCAAGAGTTACAATTTTTACAGTTAATATTGTAAACAACTCTGATATAGTCAGTGCTTGTGTATTCTTATCAGAGTATTCTATTCAGTTTGTTTAATATATTAAGCGAACTTTAAAAAATATATTAATTAAATGTAGAGATATCTAATTTTTCTGTTTAACAAAAACGGCGAATAACAAATTTCACGAGCGCATTAATAACCTTTGGTTGCGCTGAATTATAGAAATCTGTACGTTTTATTATTAACACATCCTCGCACGGGATTACACGATTATACAAATGTGCGTGCGTATGCGTATTTTATTATTAAAGCACTTCGGGCGAGATTACTCATCCCTCGCGCCTTTCAAGTTCACCCTCGTCGAATCGGTCTGCGCGCGAGGTATAGTGCTAAATCCGCGGGAGAATCGACGAGAATAGCACGTAATACATCGCTGTGTATGAATTCGCGCTGAACGTGCCCCACGCTCCGGGCTTGTAAATCGCGCATCTAAATTTTCATGCTTTGTTAATAATGCACCCGGCGGCGTTGCGATACGGCGCTCGTTAACGAACGGAGCGATACCGCGAATATAAATCGTCCTCGTTGTCGGCGCTCTCTTCGCCTTTCCTAGGGCCCTTTGCACCGCCCGTCGCCAGTTCTCTTGGCGGCCATCGGGATCGCACGGCCCATCCTCCTTCTTTTAATATTTAAATCGAGCTCGTTCTCGCGGCACGACGCCTCGGGTTTCCCGGTCTCTGGTTTCCGCTTCCTCGTCGTTCACCGCCGCCGCCGACGTTCCTGCGAGATTGTTCCGCGAGCTTGCGGCAGACATCGTCGCGAGGTTCCCGTCCCTTGACGTATGACGCGACCGGAATCGAGCTTGTTGTTAGATTCGCGCTAGTTCGCTGTCAAGAGTTAATTTTAACGCCGGCACGCTTATTTTTTGCTACTCACTTTGGCACATAGGGTCTGTGCATACAGAAAACATACAAATAAATGTCACTCGTTTAATAAAAAAATCGAGTTGTTTATTTATATTAATTGAATCTTACTTCTCTCCTCGATAAAGTTTTATAATATTCTTGAAATGAGAGACTTCTTTTGAGTATGTGATAATAAGTTCTAAAATTTATGACGAGCATATTTTAAAATTATATGTCAGGAAATATTTTTTGTTGAAAATAACCATCACTTAAAATGAAAAAAGTAAACTCAGTAATCGCTTTTCTTAGCAATAATATGTTTCTATGTGTACGGCCCAGAAACTGTTCTGATATATACTCTTACTTAAATATTTATGAATGTGTTTATTTACACAGTTATTATGATTATATATTGAATTATGATGAATAGATATTATGATTTTGAATGTACGAAACATAAATTAGAAAAATCGCAACCATTATTTTTTAAATAATAGATGCTTTAAGATACAAGAGGGAAAAATGTATTGTTTTTACACAAAAAGAAATAAAAAATTGAGCACACTTTAAGTGAAGAATTTTATGTTTTTATGTGCAATAAAATTTAAGATTTAACAACTATAAAATCCTAACTATTTGCTATTATATTATATAAAACAATTTATCTATTAGAGGTAAACTGAAACTAAATGTAAAATATATCGATGTTTATATTGTCTTCAATTCTGAACCGCGCATTTTTCGTTGAATTTTATGTTTTCATTCAAGTTTCGATAAATTGTACCGTCACAATCTCGCATTTAATTTTTATTTGTAACTGCAGTTTTCGTTATCGAGACATACGTACAAAGGATGACATGACATTGTGTATCGAGAATATTATTGAATGTAAAGGAAAATATGTCCATCAAAGAGAAGAGTTTATTAAAACAAATTCTTTCTCTGCTTTCGGAGGTTCGCGAGACTTTTATTTCGACGTAAACCTGATAACGTGCCTGGCTTGTTTATCCGTCGACCGGCCAATCGATGTTAGCTTGACGTTTCCTTTAGGAAAGTCGACACGACGGGGAAACTCCGCCAGTTATCCGCCATTCTCGTTTATCCAGCCCCGAGACGAGCGACGACAAGATTCACCAGAATCGCTCGCCGCAGTGGACTCGAGTTTTCCTCGAGCCGAACTAAACATTTCAATCTAAACTTGGTAGAGAACACACCATGGTGATAGTTTGTTTTTCCATCATTGTAAAAATTGTTCCTCAGTGAAAAAATATATATATATATATATGCTACAAATAAATATGTTATTAATTTGTAATAAATAAATATTAATTATTTTTTAGATATTTTTTCTCTTAATGTATTAAAGGTTCATGAAATAGAAATAATAAGTGTCTTCTGTAGATGATTTAAATAAACGCAAACTATCCTTAAGAGCGTCAAAGTAGCATCAAAATTTCGACTTGATCGTCGATGAGTCGTAAAGATTTCATTCCAGTCGTCGATATAGGAGCAGTCTTTACATTTAGTTTAAAATGCTGAAAGGTTTTCTGCGTTTCGAAGAGGATGAAATTCTCGAGACTTTCAAAACAAAACGATATAACGAATCGTACGCGCAATACGCTTGCTTTACCGCGTGCTCACATAGCAGAGTTGTGCGGCTATGGTTTCAAGGCGTGTATTCACGAATGCCCCGTTTGAAATCTAATTTGCAGGAGGTGTATTGCGGCCGCGAGACCATCTGTACGGTGGACGGGCTGCACTTCAACTCGCTCTACAACGCCAGGGTGCGGGCGTTCAACAGCGCAGGCGAAGGCGAGTACTCGGAACTGATCGGCCTTCAGACTGCGGAGGGTGAGATTCCACCTTTCTTTTTTACAGCCTTCTGGGGGAGAAAAGGCGCGAAGGCCTCGACTGGAAAATCGGCGTCGGTGTTGCGTGGAAGACGAACGATCGTGACCGACGTCGATTTTCCAGCTGCGCGTGTTTTTTTCCGCGATGCGATCGCGTGATCGATGAGATGGACGTTGGACGGACGGGAAATTGCGATAGTGTTTTCCACATGATGACGTCCGCGGAATAATGCGGGCGACAATTACGAATGATTTCGAGAGAAGAGACACTTATTCAGCTTCGGAAAACCGACGGCACGGAAATACAATTATCGACTCGATTACTACCTCTTGTTCAACTTTGCCGCTGCTATTTTTATCATGAAATTTTGAATTATTCAAATTGGAGAATTGGATCTCTACGTCATTGTCATTTAGCTTTCGAACGGCGAACCAAATGACATCACTGAATATCGGTGAATTCATTGCGATTCATATCAAAATTTTTAATAAGCACATTCTGGAATTAGTTTTCATACCAAATTATAATTATATTAAAGGAAAAGCATCGAAACTGACATATTATTTTATTTCTTGGCTCTAAAGCTTTGTTGAAAGTATAAAATTAAAGTTTATGTGCAAACGAGAAACTTTTCTCTATCAAAATATATGATAAAATGAAATTATGAAAATTATTACATATTTATTTACAAATAACTATTTTTAAAATATTTTTGATGCTCTTCCTCTACTTTTCGTTACATGTTTGCAAATATGATGCTAACATACAATATCTAGCAGAAAAAAAGACATATTTTCTTTTATGCATACTAAATGCGAGTGATCCGATATTCGCAGTGCGGAACTAAATCGACAATTGTAGCGCGATGAAACCTTCCTTGTATCAGAGCCTTAAATCATTTAATACGACGGAAAACACAAAGAGGGGGAAATCCTATCGTTCTTTCCTTATTAAAATCTCACAATCACGTCACGTCGACTTCCGTATTGAATACTTCAATTGTTTAACGACACAGAAAATCACACATCCTCTCCCCGTCCTTCTTCCCGTATTAAGATTCCACAATCCCGTCACATCGTTATATTAACATCGAGCGAGCGACGTCGAATTCCCAATAATCCCACCCTCGATACAGCCTGCGTTCTCTCTCCCCCACCCCTCTCTCACTCTCTCTCTATCTCACTGTTTCTCTCGTTCGGTCGTTCGCGCTCAAACGTGTAGTTCGTTAAGCACGCTTGCGAATCGAGTCCGCGGAATATTAATCGAAGCTACAGCGAGGCGGACCTTCTCTCTGGTCGACAGTGGCGTGGTTCTCGTGGGCGACTGGCGCGGCCGGCATACCGCAGGAGGTGTCCATATCCGAGGACGCGATGAGCGCGTCCTGCGAGGGCTACGAGCACCGCGTGGTCCTCTCAAGCGTCGGCTTCTCGCGGGGTGTGCACTATTGGGAGCTGACCATCGATCGATACCACAGTGACACTGATCCGGCCTTCGGTATTGCTCGGGCCGACGTGTCGCGTGATCAGATGCTGGGTAAGTCCTTCTCCTCCTCTTCCTCGTGCCTCCGCCTCTATACCGAAGCGGAAAATGTCGTGTGGTTTAACCGGCGCCGATGAAATATTCATGCGCCACCCGGTACACCCCGGAGATCCCCGGTTTGTCGAAATTCGGAGGCGAGAGATGTACGTAACGTTTCCCTCGTCTACCCTTCCCCCCCCCCTTTCTCTCTCTCTCTCTCCGACTATCTGTATCTCTCATTCTCTTCGTGTCGCTCCGTGGAGGATGAAGGAGACAACGACGAAGAGATTCGAGATCGAAAAGTGCTCGACCGCGGTTGCGCAACGAACCGAAAGAGAGGGTTACTTTAATCCACGGGCATCCGCGTAACCGGGTCAACGCTCTTAGTGCTGATGAAATCCGAGAACTGCTTAACCTAATGGATTTGACGAGAATATATTGTGCGGCAACTAACGTGTTACATCTCTTGCAATTTTTCTGTAAACACACGCCTTTTTCCTGACACCCTTCGCTAACAAACCGCAATGCTAAGTTAACGATCATCGGCCGCATCCTCTCAAAATCGTCTTGAATCAAGAAGAAAGCATAGCGATCTAAATCGCATGTCGGGGATCTCAGTCGGGGTTAACCAAAAAGTAAATCTCGAAGTATCCTCTCCAATCATCGCATGAAGAATTCTATATCGTAATCATATCATATAGCAATATTTACTATATATACCATATGGTTTCCTTGTCAACAACGCCACTGTAGTTCTAAATGTCATACATTTTTCTCTGAGTGTGTCGTTTGCACAACAAACGCATAATCCGAGAGAGCCGCGGGCCTCGAAGTACGATGTTGCGAATCGTCTGTTCGCAGGCAAAGACGACAAGGGTTGGAGCATGTACATAGACCGGCAACGTTCGTGGTTCATGCACGGTGGCGGTCACGCGCAGAGGACAGACGGCGGCGTTCAGCAAGGCTCGACCGTTGGCGTGCTGCTCGACCTCGAGACCACACACACGCTACGCTTCTTCGTCAACGATCAGCCGCAGGGCGGTATCGCCTTTCGCGACCTCTACGGCGTCTTTTACCCGGCGGTCAGCCTGAACCGCGGAGTTACGGTGACCCTTCACACCGCCTTGGACGTGCCGCGTCACCTACTGGCGCTTCACGAGGAGTACATCAGTGACATCGTTCAGAGCTAGGGGTACCTCAACGTCCTCAAGAAAGGTCTCTCGCAGGAGATCGGCTCGCCCTTAGGCTCGGTGTATGTCGACCGATGTAGGGATTTTGAGCCGGCGGGCCAGTTATTGGAAAAGATTGTCGAGGAGAGTCCGGTCGACGTCAACTGATCGATAGAGTACGGCCGATTGTACGATCGATTGTAGTCTCGGCATTTCTTCCACGACATCTCTTGGTCGCGTCATTGAAGTCTCCCGGAGTCACACTGAAGTGTCCGACGAGCCGAGTAGGTTTCGACCCTGTCGCGATATTGCGAAGCAAGGGAGCGGCGGTCTCCTCGGGGATAACGATGCGTTGTGTGTGTACGTTTGATTGTTCTTGAAGTGTGTACTCACATGTGTGTCAGGAGGGGAATATTCCCCGCGAGTATCCGACGATATTTCGCAGAGTCCGAGGATCTATCTTCCATAGAGGCGGGCAAACGTCCCGCTCGTAAACTCTCGCTCGGCGAGAGCTCTCGGCGTAACCGAGAGCTAAATGAGAGAACTGGTCTAACTTTTTATTCACGGCTCGAGAATCTGTCCCCTCGTCCCCGAGGATGTTAATCTGGACGAGATATTTGTCTCGCGCTGTACGCACTCGCCTGAATATAAACGGATTCCACGAGAGGAATAACGATTCAACAGGTCCAGAGAAACTTCGGGCGAGGTTTCCGAGGGAGGCGTAAACCGTTGACCTTTTTGAATCCCGCTTGTTCGAGAAGCTGAAACTTAGAATCGGGACTGCGGTGGAAATTGGGATCATCCTCCTGATTTCACCCGCGCGATCGGGATTCGTGCCGGGAAACGGAGCGTCGACAATATCGATCGAGGCCGTGAATAACAGAAAGGTGGAGAAACACAGGACACGTTGTGAGGTCACTTCTTGTAGGAAGAAGGCATGAAAGAAGGAAAGAAAGAAAGACTACTTTATTCCGGAGAATCGATGAGACTGAAATATATCATTCACGCACACATATGTCGCGCGATCCGTAATATACCTTCCGTTAGGATATCGTGAAAGAGCCAACGTAAAAAGATATTCCTCCGACACGCTGAAAATCTGTCCACTTTTTTTACTCACGCCGTACCCCGCGAGGGGAGCAGAGCAAAGAAAATATTTTTTCTTAACGCTTCTAAAGTACGTTTCTTCAACTCGAATGATTATCTCGACGAAAGACCCAAAACACCTCGGAGAGTCGCGTCCCTGACGTCGGTTTAACTGATTTCGACTCCTTCTACTACGCTACACAGCCAACGTCGTTCAATCTAAAAGTGCGTATATACTTAGCGAACGAACATCGAAGACGAATTATTCGAATCATCGACGTATTGTTTTGAACGGAGCATGCGGCAAGATTTTTTTATCTTTCGAGTCGACGGACCTGGAAAGAGAGAAGTAAATGTTTAGACATGGATCTCTCTTTTTATTATCTTTTCATTGGTTGAATTTTGTCTGACAAGAAGGGATACAGTATTATATTCTTACAAATTGGGAATATCCTTAACATATTTTGCAATCTATAAGTGTGTGTAACGCTTGTAACGTATGTAAACGTCGAATAAAACTGAAATTATTACATACATAAAAGTAATGACTAAATATAATTTCTACTTATGCAATGTTTATTATACAAAAGAAGTATGGAAAATTTTGAAGTACCTCATGCCTCGGTCTACATGAGTTGTCACTACCTACACATCTTTTTGTCTCTCTCTACGTCTGCTAATACGATTTCGATTCTATGCTCCGCCCAGTGCTACATGTCGACCTTTGCAATTGACGTGTAGAGTTTATACTCTCGGCCATTCAAGAAGAAGATTACATGTCAATGCTTCAGATTAGAACGTGTATATGTATTAACGAATTTTAATAGAGCGTCCCTCAAGTGAGACGCTCTATTAAAATTCGTTAAGACGTATACTTTCCGGACCGTAACAACGAACGTTCACATTCGCTATCCACTCGTTGTACGTTCGCTCAGCGTACACCTACACCTTAAGAAGAGGTATATTTGTTGATTAGATACTCGACCGATGACGGTGCGACCAGCGCCCTCGGAAGCGTCCATTAGCAAATAGCCAAGTATCGTCGTCGACGAACTTTGTGGAGAACTGTGCCGCAGGAGAGGCGATCAATCGGTCGCTCCGGTGAGATCGCATCGAGTACCGAAGAGTCGCCCTGAATAAGCGCACCTCTTACGGAATTCATCGGTTGATAGGTGGGAGGAGCGCGTGAGAGCGAGAGGTATCGCCCGTCGGCAACCTCTTCCGATATTCTCTGGTTAGGGAACGGCGGTTCTTAGGGCTTCTTACTCTGGGGAGTAGAGTCGAGACGGTAAGCGAAGAGAGCACCTCGAGGGCCGACACAGAGGGCATCGAGAAGAACCTCGAGTAGCTTCTTCCGTAGCATGCGTCAGGTAGCCGGTAAAGAAACTCGACTCGTTGCTCCCACCGTGCGGTGTCTGTCGTGTTTTACCTGTTTTTTTTTTTTTTCGTCGATCGCGTAATTAACTCTTTCAGCACCTGCCGCCCTGTGTACGCGGCTCCGCTCGCGACGATTTATCAGAGGGAGTATCGTTAGCTTCGCTGGCTGTTGGTGTACACTCAGCCATTGCTGAGGACAGCTTGTACATTTATGATATTAATGGCTGCGTTGGCATGACGTACAGTTGCGAGTTTCGGGAAGTCTTTATGTGTTTTGCAAAATGATGAGTCGGTTTCACGAGGGAAAAATGTTATGTACTCTCTAAAGAAACATGTTTTTTCGTTTACTTTTTTTTATTATAACGGACATGCGGAATTTATCTGCCTGAGTAACATAACGTGTATTTCTCTCTCTCTCTCTCTCTCATATTCTCTTTCACCGAGTTAACACGATCGCAGTGTGATTCGAGGCTCCCGTGTACTTCCGTGTTCATGCCGGTGCTGAAACAGTTAATGACCGGACGAGGTCGCGAGCATTGAGTTTCCGATCGGACGCTGACGAGGCGCGATCGACGACGACGATGACAACGAGGTGGCGGAGGATCGGCCACGAAGGCCGATAATTATCCTACAGCCGACAAAGAATCGGAATTCTGTTCGGGACAGAGCTGACCGAACGGTTCTTCGTCCGGCGGTCTCGCGCGATCGACAGGTCGCTCGATCGTCCACCCATTATCCATATCGACACTCGTATAAGTGTAATCGCGTAGGCGTTAAGCTCCATTAAAGCGTATAGACAGTAAAGCGTATAAAACAATGAATGCTGCCGCGACTTTAGTGTACAATAACGAATCGAGTATACGTTTTCTAGTCTTCGATAGAAATCCCGATCGGACCCTTCTCCGTCCCATCCTCATCTCACCTCTTTGTTTACTGTCCTTCCTCGCGTTCCTTTCACTTTTCGTCTCGCCCGATTTCCTACTATTTCTTTTTTTTACGACTTTGTATCTCTCGACAGTCAGGAGAACAACAGGACACACTAGGTCCTGGTCGCGCTCGTAGACATGAGTCCTCCGTTATATTCCGATGTAACGATAAGCCGGATGCGATGGACATCGCTGTTGTCTGCAGCGAGCGCACGCCTTCCGGCGCCCGTGTATATACTTTGTACATATATGTATGACTATCGATTGTAACGCCGATAAATTTGCCGATTGTATCATTTACGACTGTATCGGATCAATAAAACGCAACGAAAACGCCTGTGCGATCTGCCGTATTCGTGACCCTTCGATTCTCCTCCAATCCCGCCCTCTTCGCTCTCTTCGCCCTGTCCAGTGGTGGATTGAGATACTCGGAGCTCCCCCATGTAAGGTATTACAGAGGATATTAAAGCGGGGAAATTTCACGAGGAGCGTTAAATATTACTGCCTTGTTAACGTCACGCATTAATGACATCGAGAATATTTTATATTTTAGGCTATCCGGTATGGCGAAATAACGAGAGGAGGAGTGCATTTTTCGTGCGGGAATGTCACAGGGACGAAAAATGCCAGTTTCGGTGTATGTAAAAATATTTTGAAACAAAAGATGAAGCGGCCTCGAGGTTTTAAGGACCCAACCGGGCGAATCATACCCTCGTACGGTAATCCACCACTGGTCCTGCCTCTCACCCTCCACTTCGCCGCCGCTTTTCGTTCATTTGATCCGAAACTTTCGCAACACCTCTTCAGGAAGTTCTCCCGCCGGCTCCCGCAAATTGCAACGAGTGCCGGCCGGGAGGGAAAGATCCGGCGGAGAGCGCAGCGCGAGTTGTGTCTGGGAGAGCCGAATAAAACAAAAAAAAAAATAGGAAGGAAAGGGAAAGAGGTAAGAGACGACGAGTGGCGAGCGAGTGCCCCGCTCGGAGAAAGTACTAACGCGGTCTGGGCGGACCCCTTTAACGAATGCAATTAGCCGTCGCGGCTGCGGCTGGATCATTTTTCCCCTTCGGGCGTTATTTTATATCGCCTTTGCCGTAAGTTCGTTCAAGCACGGCGCTTGATTCGATTCGGAGATTGGAGGAAGAACGCGCGCGCGCTTAGGGCTAATCGATTTCCGCCTTTTTTGCTCGTCGTCGACGGGATGCGGCTTTCACGATGGCACCGCTTTTATCGCCGATGGCACTTCCCCGCTTACGCGGAGAAGTCGCGAACGAGTCGCCACCGAAAGAGACGTCTTGACATTCGTCGTGGTATCTTAACGTCTTATGTATCAAACTGCGCGCTCGAACGGACTTGTGACAAAAGGCATCGTCGAAGGCGCGCGAATGCGCACACACGGAGGATGATCGGGTTGAGACGGGGCAACTCAGCTTTTACGATGTTCGCTTTATGAATATATAAAACTGATACGCGAGAAGGCAAATGTTTATTCGAGATACAAAGTGTTGAAGAAAAAAGCTCTGTTATCTCTGGCAAATGGACTGACTGTTACACAGTAAAGGATAAAATGTTAATTTTAATATATTTTACGCGCTCCAAAACGTTCGCTCTGAATAATACATGAAAACGCCACGAAAATGATAATATATCAGCTGTTAATTTTACATTGAAGTAATAATCAAAAATTAGTAACACACACACATACACACACAAGAAAATTTTAACATTTGGACACAAGATTTTTTAAACGTGCATTTATTCGACTAGAACATAACTTCCTTTTTTTACAAAATTGGCGGCATCAAGGAAAAAGTGGATTTAATAGTTTAGTAACATTGCGCAGTAACGTGTCGCTACATCGGGAACTGCGTCTACAAAGGTAGTTCTTGGCTGCTCTCTTGTGCACCCACATAACTTGCGGAAATGCGATAATATGAGAGGATGGTAAAGTATCGCCGGTTTTACGATACGCAAAAAACATTATAAAAGTTGTTCAATGCTTTCCCGGGAAGTTCTTGTCCCCCACAAATTACAGCCGGCGGTACTATTGGAAGAAAGATGGCCCTGGTGTAAGTTGGATCTGTGGAGGGAAAAAGAAGCATCGAGTGTCGTACGAGAGAGGCGCTCCGAGAATACTGTTACTGTTAGGATTGGCTGTTCCTAAGGAAAGAAAGGAAAAAAAAAGTTCAATAAACTGCCGGTATTTCGTAAACATAATTAGCGGTAAATCATTTTTACACTCTTGATCGCCGGCTGGTACGAGATACGTAAACCATAAGAGAACAAAACTTGAGAACGCAATTGTCGACAAAGTTGATGTCGATCTGCCTTTTGGCAGAAATTTAAGCCACGCGTTTTACGTATTATTAGAAAATTATTTAATTTTGAATTTTACAACATTTTAGTGAATTGAATTTCAAAAATGCTAATAACCGACCAAAATTGGGGATTATATTAAATGCACATTTTATTTTATCGGAAATTTAATTTAAATATTGGCATACACGAAATATACTCGGTAGTAAAAAATTTACTAGACGCACGAAATATTTCATTCGACCGAGTGCTTTCTGAGAAAAATTTGTTTTCGCAGACCGATCAAAGAGAGAGAAAGAGAGAGAGAACGCTCACTTTCGGGTTGCCGCAAATCTTGAAATCCCAAGTAGCCTTTCACGAAGATTTGATGCAAGCCACGAAAGGATATCGAGTTTTAGACAGAAAGTAAGTCCATGTATTCTGCTCGCTCGTTGACAATAATGCAACGGGGATTTCGGTGGATAAAAGTTTTACTTTTTTTATCCTCCTTTCTCGAAGAAAGTACGCTGCAGCTTTCGAGCTGGAAAGTTAGTTTTGGAAAGAGCCAGTGGACTCTGTATCGTTGTACGACGATACACATTTATGTAACGACGAAAAATGTTCACAAGTAGCGCGTTAAATGCCGACATCGGTGTAAGCCCGTGCTCTTCAAAATGTTCCGCACGGATTTAAGGGATTCCACGTAGCGCTGGTAAAAATTTTGCTCTTTATTACCTCCACTACCGCAGTGTAAATTACGTGTAGCGAGTTAAACTTTCCCACTTTTGTGTTTCGTTATAAATTGCATCCTCCGCATCCTGCTTTAAAATTTTATCTTTAAAAATCTGACGCAGACCATCGTGAATAAAATTAAACAAAAGGAGAAAGAAAATGAAGTATCGTATAACCACCTTAGTACCACTTTGGAAAATATTCACGTATCGAAAGAATTTTATGGATTTTCGCCAATGTCTTTGTAACCTTTAGAAACATCGAAAAAATAATCAAATGCAAGATATCGTCGTAATGTTTCACACGGTAATTTCTAAACAAATATGATCTCCTCTAAAGTTGAAAAGAAAAAATATTATGAAAAAATCTTGTAATTGTGCTGCTGGAACGCACGCGTCATCAATTGTGCGACGACGGTTTGTTTTTGATAGCAGGTGACTTTATTTCGAAAATATCGATTGTTTTGGTATTCCATCGCGTTGCGTACCTGTTCGTGACCGAATCGTTATATATCAGACTGCCAAGCGACGCGCATACTGAGACGCGAAACACGTATATCGGTGCATTATTTACCATGCCCATCGGGTGATTTAAACATCTTGCCGGCTCTTGAAACATTTTACCGAACTTTTGTCGACATCACGTTAGTTAATACGTATCCCTCCTATTGAATCTCGTATCAGCGTGAGTCAGTGCCAATGAGTGTGTGGAACCATGGAGCAGCCAGGAACATATTGGTTTGGAAAGTTAGGATGCAGAGCACAAGTAGCAATATATCACGCATTTACAGGTATGTAAAATAATTTATTATACAGAATATTTAGATTGTAACAGACGTCCGGTGAATTTACCGCAAAAAGAGATATCATAAGTTGAAATTTAGAATTCACTCTAAAACCATTCTTATAGTTTGTCATCGTTTGAGAAATAATTAAAATATTATGAACTTCTGATAATTCGCGTTAACTTGTAATATTTATTTTATACAACAAGAAAGGTCGAATAACGGTTTGACATGAATCTATAATTTATTATTTTCACGTTCAACGTTGTAAATAATTTACAACTATGAATACTGGCTTAAGTCTCGCAAGTATTGAGATTACCGTTTCCTTAATAATATTCTTTGAGACGCGAGTTTTAATTTTTGAATTTCTGCTAGTGTCTTCTTTTCACTTCTATCTACTTTTGTTATTGTAATATGTTCAAATTTAAATCTATATAAATGAATATGAATAAAAATACAGATCTGAATATTATTATTTTTGACGTTATGAATTCTTTCTTCTTAACCATTGAAGATATAAATCCTATCAAAATTTACATATCAATAGAAAAATAGTAATAACAAAATATATAAACAGAAAGTATGTTCTACGTTGCTTACCCATTATTTCCATTATTTACCCATATCAATTATTTAATATTTGCTTACCGCATATACTCCATTTGTGGTTCAATAAGTTACATAATTAATCAATTGTTTATTGAAATCAAAAATGAAGATTAAATATTGGTATAATGTTGAAATATTCGAATATTAAAATAATTTTGTAATAATTTTTTAACTTTTTACGAAGTACTTTTTCAAACTTCTATACGGAAAAAAATAGCGTATAACCATTTATAACATGAAGGTTAATAGTTTGTATAACGTTATATCTCGAGATTCTCATTGATTCATCGAGTTCGACGGTATCCCCAAGATTAATATAGAACTAAAATTTCAATTCGGTCTCTCGAGCCGTTTACGCTGCGGTTCCCGCGAACAGTAATACATACAATACACTAGGGACACAGCGGACAACGAGGAAAACAAGGGAAACGCGCATTTCCGTTTACTTTTGTTCGCGACCGGACTACCGGCCGGGGCGACGAGAATAAGAAGAAAAAAAGGGTGGCCATCTGCCGGGTCGTACTAAATCCAGCGTCCTTTTCCGCGATCCACGCAGTATCCCCGACTGGTAATGGTCCGAATTCCCGAGACGTAGTCCGTGGAAACGTGACGCTCGTTTCGGCCCAGGATGACGAAACGAGAGCCCTGTTACGCATTGCCGTCATCCCTTCATCCATTCCTCCCCCGCGCTCGATCTCTTATTTATCCCCGCGAGATTAAGCAGTATCACCGCCCCGTGCGCGCGTGATCGCCCGAGCGTACGTGGTATGTACTGAGGGGCCGCTTAATCGCGTAGTCTTGCGTGCTTTCCATTCTATTAAAAAAAAAAAAAAGAAGAGAGAGAAAGGAGCACCAATCGAGAGATTCGTTAGTCCTTCAGCCTCCGAATACTACGGCGGTTTTCTTAGATAAAGACC